GCAAGAGCCAATGAGGTTCATTCTCGTGTTACGCAGCACGTTTGAGCTTCTGCAAGAGCCAATGAGGTTCATTCTCGTGTAACGCAGCACGTTTGAGCTTCAGCAAGAGCCAATGAGGTTCATTCTCGTGTAACGCAGCACGTTTGAGCTTCAGCAAGAGCCAATGAGGTTCATTCTCGTGTTACGCATCACGTTTGAGCTTCAGCAAGAGCCAATGAGGTTCATTCTCGTGTTACGCATCACGTTTGAGCTTCAGCAAGAGCCAATGAGGTTCATTCTCGTGTTACGCAGCACGTTTGAGCTTCTGCAAGAGCCAATGAGGTTCATTCTCGTGTAACGCAGCACGTTTGAGCTTCAGCAAGAGCCAATGAGGTTCATTCTCGTGTAACGCAGCACGTTTGAGCTTCTGCAAGAACCAATGAGGTTCATTCTCGTGTAACGCATCACGTTTGAGCTTCTGCAAGAGCCAATGAGGTTCATTCTCGTGTAACGCATCACGTTTGAGCTTCTGCAAGAACCAATGAGGTTCATTCTCGTGTAACGCAGCACGTTTGAGCTTCTGCAAGAGCCAATGAGGTTCATTCTCGTGTTACGCAGCACGTTTGAGCTTCAGCAAGAGCCAATGAGGTTCATTCTCGTGTAACGCATCACGTTTGAGCTTCAGCAAGAGCCAATGAGGTTCATTCTCGTGTTACGCAGCACGTTTGAGCTTCAGCAAGAGCCAATGAGGTTCATTCTCGTGTTACGCAGCACGTTTGAGCTTCAGCAAGAGCCAATGAGGTTCATTCTCGTGTAACGCAGCACGTTTGAGCTTCTGCAAGAGCCAATGAGGTTCATTCTCGTGTTACGCAGCACGTTTGAGCTTCTGCAAGAGCCAATGAGGTTCATTCTCGTGTAACGCATCACGTTTGAGCTTCTGCAAGAGCCAATGAGGTTCATTCTCGTGTAACGCATCACGTTTGAGCTTCTGCAAGAACCAATGAGGTTCATTCTCGTGTAACGCAGCACGTTTGAGCTTCAGCAAGAGCCAATGAGGTTCATTCTCGTGTTACGCAGCACGTTTGAGCTTCAGCAAGAGCCAATGAGGTTCATTCTCGTGTAACGCATCACGTTTGAGCTTCAGCAAGAGCCAATGAGGTTCATTCTCGTGTTACGCAGCACGTTTGAGCTTCTGCAAGAGCCAATGAGGTTCATTCTCGTGTAACGCATCACGTTTGAGCTTCTGCAAGAGCCAATGAGGTTAATTCTCGTGTAACGCATCACGTTTGAGCTTCAGCAAGAGCCAATGAGGTTCATTCTCGTGTAACGCATCACGTTTGAGCTTCAGCAAGAGCCAATGAGGTTCATTCTCGTGTAACGCATCACGTTTGAGCTTCAGCAAGAACCAATGAGGTTCATTCTCGTGTAACGCATCACGTTTGAGCTTCTGCAAGAGCCAATGAGGTTCATTTTCGTGTTACGCAGCACGTTTGAGCTTCAGCAAGAGCCAATGAGGTTCATTCTCGTGTTACGCATCACGTTTGAGCTTCAGCAAGAGCCAATGAGGTTCATTCTCGTGTTACGCATCACGTTTGAGCTTCAGCAAGAACCAATGAGGTTCATTCTCGTGTAACGCAGCACGTTTGAGCTTCAGCAAGAGCCAATGAGGTTCATTCTCGTGTTACGCAGCACGTTTGATCTTCAGCAAGAGCCAATGAGGTTCATTCTCGTGTTACGCAGCACGTTTGAGCTTCTGCAAGAGCCAATGAGGTTCATTCTCGTGTAACGCAGCACGTTTGAGCTTCTGCAAGAACCAATGAGGTTCATTCTCGTGTTACGCAGCACGTTTGAGCTTCTGCAAGAGCCAATGAGGTTCATTCTCGTGTTACGCAGCACGTTTAAGCTTCTGCAAGAGCCAATGAGGTTCATTCTCGTGTTACGCAGCACGTTTGAGCTTCTGCAAGAACCAATGAGGTTCATTCTCGTGTTACGCATCACGTTTGAGCTTCTGCAAGAGCCAATGAGGTTAATTCTCGTGTAACGCAGCACGTTTGAGCTTCTGCAAGAGCCAATGAGGTTCATTCTCGTGTAACGCATCACGTTTGAGCTTCTGCAAGAACCAATGAGGTTCATTCTCGTGTTACGCATCACGTTTGAGCTTCTGCAAGAGCCAATGAGGTTCATTCTCGTGTTACGCATCACGTTTGAGCTTCTGCAAGAGCCAATGAGGTTCATTCTCGTGTAACGCATCACGTTTGAACTTCTGCAAGAGCCAATGAGGTTCATTCTCGTGTTACGCATCACGTTTGAGCTTCTGCAAGAGCCAATGAGGTTCATTCTCGTGTAACGCAGCACGTTTGAGCTTCAGCAAGAGCCAATGAGGTTCATTCTCGTGTAACGCATCACGTTTGAGCTTCTGCAAGAACCAATGAGGTTCATTCTCGTGTTACGCATCACGTTTGAGCTTCTGCAAGAGCCAATGAGGTTCATTCTCGTGTTACGCATCACGTTTGAGCTTCTGCAAGAGCCAATGAGGTTCATTCTCGTGTAACGCATCACGTTTGAACTTCTGCAAGAGCCAATGAGGTTCATTCTCGTGTTACGCATCACGTTTGAGCTTCTGCAAGAGCCAATGAGGTTCATTCTCGTGTTACGCAGCACGTTTGAGCTTCTGCAAGAACCAATGAGGTTCATTCTCGTGTTACGCATCACGTTTGAGCTTCTGCAAGAGCCAATGAGGTTCATTCTCGTGTTACGCAGCACGTTTGAGCTTCTGCAAGAGCCAATGAGGTTAATTCTCGTGTAACGCAGCACGTTTGAGCTTCTGCAAGAGCCAATGAGGTTCATTCTCGTGTAACGCATCACGTTTGAGCTTCTGCAAGAACCAATGAGGTTCATTCTCGTGTTACGCAGCACGTTTGAGCTTCTGCAAGAACCAATGAGGTTAATTCTCGTGTAACGCAGCACGTTTGAGCTTCTGCAAGAGCCAATGAGGTTCATTCTCGTGTTACGCAGCACGTTTGAGCTTCTGCAAGAGCCAATGAGGTTCATTCTCGTGTTACGCAGCACGTTTGAGCTTCTGCAAGAGCCAATGAGGTTCATTCTCGTGTAACGCATCACGTTTGAGCTTCTGCAAGAGCCAATGAGGTTCATTCTCGTGTTACGCAGCACGTTTGAGCTTCTGCAAGAACCAATGAGGTTCATTCTCGTGTTACGCAGCACGTTTGAGCTTCTGCAAGAGCCAATGAGGTTCATTCTCGTGTTACGCAGCACGTTTGAGCTTCTGCAAGAGCCAATGAGGTTCATTCTCGTGTTACGCAGCACGTTTGAGCTTCTGCAAGAACCAATGAGGTTCATTCTCGTGTTACGCATCACGTTTGAGCTTCTGCAAGAGCCAATGAGGTTCATTCTCGTGTAACGCAGCACGTTTGAGCTTCTGCAAGAACCAATGAGGTTCATTCTCGTGTTACGCATCACGTTTGAGCTTCTGCAAGAACCAATGAGGTTCATTCTCGTGTAACGCAGCACGTTTGAGCTTCTGCAAGAACCAATGAGGTTCATTCTCGTGTTACGCATCACGTTTGAGCTTCTGCAAGAACCAATGAGGTTCATTCTCGTGTTACGCATCACGTTTGAGCTTCTGCAAGAACCAATGAGGTTCATTCTCGTGTTACGCATCACGTTTGAGCTTCTGCAAGAACCAATGAGGTTCATTCTCGTGTTACGCATCACGTTTGAGCTTCTGCAAGAACCAATGAGGTTCATTCTCGTGTTACGCATCACGTTTGAGCTTCTGCAAGAACCAATGAGGTTCATTCTCGTGTAACGCAGCACGTTTGAGCTTCAGCAAGAACCAATGAGGTTCATTCTCGTGTAACGCAGCACGTTTGAGCTTCTGCAAGAACCAATGAGGTTCATTCTCGTGTAACGCAGCACGTTTGAGCTTCTGCAAGAACCAATGAGGTTCATTCTCGTGTAACGCAGCACGTTTGAGCTTCTGCAAGAACCAATGAGGTTCATTCTCGTGTTACGCAGCACGTTTGAGCTTCTGCAAGAACCAATGAGGTTCATTCTCGTGTAACGCAGCACGTTTGAGCTTCTGCAAGAGCCAATGAGGTTCATTCTCGTGTAACGCATCACGTTTGAGCTTCTGCAAGAACCAATGAGGTTCATTCTCGTGTTACGCATCACGTTTGAGCTTCTGCAAGAGCCAATGAGGTTCATTCTCGTGTTACGCAGCACGTTTGAGCTTCAGCAAGAACCAATGAGGTTCATTCTCATGTAACGCAGCACGTTTGAGCTTCAGCAAGAACCAATGAGGTTCATTCTCATGTAACGCAGCACGTTTGATTAAAAATGCGTTCATCATGTACAGGCATCAAGTCTCTTAAAAAAATATGGACTTTACCACTCAATTCATTTGGGTTAGTTTTACAATCAGTTCATTAACTTTTTGAAGAGTCAAAGTGGTAGTTGCATAGCTGTTAAAGGGACAGAAATCTCTTAGCAAGATTTACGGGGTTGGAAAAACATGAGGGTGAGTAAATGATGACAGAATTTACATTTTTGGGTGAACTAACCCTTTAATGTAGAAATGTCCAGGTGGAGATCATAAGTCTCATGAAAAGTCTGAAATATTTGAGGAAATGATCTTTAGTAGTAAGACAACATTTTCTTTATTTTGTAAAAATATGTAGTGAAGCAATTGTTTCAATGTCATGTGGTGCAACTCTCCAAAAACTTGCATAAGTGACATAATTAAAAATGTTTTGTCTTAAAATGTTTTCGAAAAATGTATATATATAATACACATTCATAGTATAAAGAATTGTATTACTTTTTTCTTGATGTTACAACACATTTAAAGTCAGTAAATGCTTTTCTTAAATTGTTTTTTGAAACTTGAATTCATTTTTTAAAAAAACCTGACATTTCAAACTAAATTTGAATAGATTTGTCCTTCTTTATTATTGTCTTCGACTACCTTATTTGTCCCTGAAATATTTTTTTATATGAAATTAAGTAATTTTTCCACATTTCAAAATGACATGTCATTGTCTAATTAACTTCAACACTGCATAAATATTTCTGTCCAAATGGAAGGTTTTTGTTTCCTATTCTGAGGGCTTAAATTACTCCGACCATTCGTAAGTTTTCTTTTGTCCTGGTAAATTGGCACCTCAGGGATAGTATAATAGTGCCTCTATCTCTCCTCGGCAGGGTCAGTTCCCAGTATCTCGCCTGTGAATGATTCCACAGCGCTGTCCTCTGCGTCTCAGAAGCTGTATGGTGACACAAAGAGAGTGACTTTCGTGACGTATCGCCCCAGCAGCACGTTTCTTTCCATTTCGCTCATCTGGATGTCGACCTCTAGCGTGGCGGGACCCTGGACGGGCTTCACCAGCACCAGCTGCCCCGTCTGCCTGCCGGCGCGCTGGACGCTGAAGTGCTGAACTCCCGGCTTCCCCAGCAGGCCGAAGCGCAGCGCGTCGCCTAGGACACGGGCCGCAGACAGGCGGAAGAGCACGGTGGGCGCCGACATGTTGGACACCACCGCCATGAAGTGGAAGTTAATGGAGACCGGGGCCTGCAGACAGGAGGCGTCTCCTTGGACACACGGGTTACGGTCACAACGCCTGGGTGGAGGAGGAAGAGAAACCAGAGAGAGGCGGTGGGAACCCAGACCAAACTATAACATCAAATTATGTCTCGGAAATGTACACAGAGCAGTAAATCCAGAAATTAAGATTTGGAGCAAATTATACCTTAGGGAAAAACTGTTCTTGCAAACAATGTGTGCAATAGCGGCCCTTGCAACAATGCGAAGAACGCGTTTCCCATCTGTTGCTTTATAAACCAATATACCAACCAAACCCTTTAGCTGCGCCAAGTCGATTTTCAGATCTGTCAGTATGAACTGGAATTGCGCTAGCATAGCTAAAAGAGTTTGAGTTTACATATTTGTTGTAATTTGGTCTTAATGCAGCTTTCGGATGAATAGTTTGATATGAGTTTGTTATGGTGACTTCTGTAATCTGGCGTAGGATCCTACAGTTCACCCTGAGATCAGTGCTAGCTGAGTGACGCCGGCGTGCTGGACTTACAGCGGTGAGGTTTTGATGTATGTGGCGTTGTGGAAGCGAGGACAGTCCACCGGCTCACAGCGATGACCTCCGTATGTGTTCACACACACCTGCTCGCTGCTGCAGTTATGCCTCGCCCTCACACACTCGTCAATGTCTACACAAAGCACATGATAAAAACAACTTTATTTAAAAGGTTCCTTTTATCTACTATGAAAATATTAGACTTCAGTTTTCCCATTTTTAAGTTGGTTGACTCATATCTTGGTCAATCTAGCTTTGTTCTAAATCCTGGTGCGCCGTTTACCAAGGCAGCATTTTAAGGCACAGTCTCAGGATGACGTTCACCTTCCTTTGGGCAAAATCTACGGCCACATTGTATTCCCAGCATGCCCTGTAAAGCCCTCAGCGGCTGCGTTCAAGTCCACTTTTTTATGCCCTTTCCTCAGTCTCGTTCACTCCGATGTACGTCATTGCTTGCGTTGCATGAGCGCCCACTACTGGCAGAACCCTTGCCATGTGTTTCAATTGAACAGTCTCAGCCCTTGATCACTTGTGGGTAAATTAAGTGCGAGTTGCTGTTATGGCGTCACAGCACTGTGGTCTATGGGTCTTTGGTCAAAATCGAGGGGTCGGGGGTCAGTCCAAATAAACTTCCCTCGCCCACTCGACGAAGTTGAAAGCACTTCAAAATGGTGGCGGGGATCCAGCCGGAAGGTTCACAAGTGCATGTCTAAAAGTGGAGTTAAACACAGTGAAAGAAACCCATCCAAGATAGCAGACGTGTGAGAAAATCCTATAGTTTAATCAAAAAGCGTTGATTAAATATAATCATTCAATATAATAAAAAAATACTGTTGCCTTATTTAATTTATTTTCTCCATAAAGATTTCTTTAAAAAACTTTCAGATGAATGACATTACAAACTTTTTTGAAGCAGAAAAAAAAGCCTTGAATGAAAATGCAGAGAAAATATAAAACTACTGCAATTTTATGTAACTTTGTTTAAAGCAGCACTAAGTAGGAATTCAGTTTTTGTCAAACAGTGACCCCTAGAGTCGCTGTGGAGCACTTGTACTGTCGTGAATAGCACTCACGCAGAGATGGCTCGCACTCAAGGCCGGATCCCCTCCCCCTGTACACCGGTACCTGTTCAGTGGGATGGACGCTGTAACGAGTGGAAATAAGGTGTGGCCCCTTTAAGAGCTGCGCGCGCCCTGTTTAACTGTCGGCAGTCTGTATTGTATGTGCGCCTCGAACACCACATGTATACGGCGCCGGGTTATTTCTGTTTGATGCTCATTTTATCAGAATTTTATCAGATCTGTTTTTTGCCGTAGAGCAATTCGTTACCTCGCGAGACCTGATATCACACGATACTAACACTGAGGCCGGCGGCCCAAAGTTGCAAGGGTGGTTTTGCGGCTCACAGGCACCAGGGGGGTGCGAGACGACCACCATTCAACACGAAATCAGTAATATAAACATTACAATGACTCCAAAGCTGTTCGGTTAAGGTAAAAAAATTACTTAGTTCACCTTTAAAAACAGTATTTTTTTTTCTATTTTTATCACTTTTTCTTAATGTAGATAAACACAAGCATTTTGCAAGTTTATGGAGACTATTATTTTGCCATGATTTGCTCTTCCATGTTAACGGCGTCTTCTCTGATTGGTGGATCTCTCTCCAGGATTATGGGTACTGTAGTTCTCCACAGGGAATCTGGCATATACATTATTTTTGTTTCTTCTGAAAGCATTCTCTACGGAGACAACGAATGGGGTTTCACCTACTGTTGTGAATCCCCAGAACTGATGTTGATGTAGAGCGTTAAGAATCACTCCATCACTAATGAGGAACGTTGTATTTCGGAGGCTGCGCATCTGTGAGCAGCACACTAGATAATGTCGTCAGTGTAAGATGATTATACAGAAGCAGATATGAACGCACCATGGCAGCTCCTGCTATCGCGGCCCAGGCGGTATCCGGCGGGACACTGGCACCGGAAACTTCCAGCTGTATTCACACAGGTGTGCAGACACAGACGGCCAGGTGGAGTTAGGCGGAAGAGCTCGCATTCGTCAATGTCTGAAACACACACACACACACACACACACACAGCGCTGCTTTAGGTCAGACGTCGCTGCTGTCAGTTCAGTCCTAACACGACTGCTGTGGCATTTGCTTCTGAAAACTGTTCAGAAATGAAACTCATTAATCATACATCAAACCTACCATGCTGTATTCATTAATTTCGGTTCGGTTTCATTTCATACATGATCACACTGAATAATTTAGCATTTTAAAAATACATTTAATTGACCATTGGCTGACATGCTCTTTTATCACTGGCATTGAGAGCCAGTAACAACACTGATGAATTACTGGAATAAGCTGATTTTCATGGTTAGGACAGGTATTATAGGAGCAAAAATGATAGTATAAAAATCTAATTCATATGCCTACAATTATAGTTGATTAGTTTATAAATTGAAGAACACAATTATTTGGTAGACTAACAAGCACCGGTCCAAGCAGAATATATATACTGTGTAAAAATATATACCGTTGTAATCAAAACTATTCAACCCCCATTGCAAATCAGGTTTATTGGCAAAATTTACAGACTTTCAGCTGTTTGCAATGAACAAATCAAACAAAAGTAATTAAAATAGCTCAACATAATGAATCTTTCAAGGGGTTTCCCCAAATTCAACTGAAAACGCAACTTTTAAAGTCCTCTTGTGGTGACAATCAAGTTTTTAATGTTGTTTATATCTGCAACATGACATCATGACTTTGCGTAAACATACACGCCACTTTCAATTCAAGTGGCGTGTTATCTATACGCATTTTGAGCTATCCGCGTGTATGTCCACGCCGAAATCTTTTGCGTGTATGTCTACGCCATTAAACGTCCGAGTGATTCCGCGTGTATGTGTACGCCGTTAAATGTCCGAGCGAAATGAAGCAAAATCTATATTCTACATCTGTGGAGCGATATTTCTTTTCCTAGGATGGTAGGAGAAGACTCATAAATGGTATTAACCCCAGTGACGGGTAGGTTTAGGGACGGGGTTGGGGTAGGTCATATATTTATATGTACATAATACAGTAATATAACGTTAAGTCAAAGGCGTTGATAAACACGCTGAAAAGCGATTATGCGAGTGTTTTCTCCTTAAAACTGCAGTGAACCAAAGATGAGTTTTAAGGGATAAAATGATTGACTACAGGACGACTAATGACTTCTGCAGTCTCAAAATTATTCAACCTCTTCATGGCAAGCATCTTTAGTACTTAGTATAACACCCTTTTGCTGTTGTGGATTTCCTGATACTTCAGTGAATCCATCTTGCTTTCCACACGCTGCAGGTTTCATTACAGCGTATGCTTCATTCTTCTTCCCCCAGACACACCGCTGATCCAGACACACCGCTGATCTTGTGCTTTTGGGTCAGTAGTGGCGTACGTGTTTGAGTATATGCGTTTAGTACGGGCCTTACTGTGCAGCGGAGACCTCAGCGCCTGTGGCCACCAGTCTCGCTGCAGGGCTTCTGTAGGCACTCGAGGAAACTTCTCGGAAATCTGGTTGCAGCCGTTGATAGCTTCCTTTTTCTGCCCCATCCAGGTAGTGTAACCACTGTTCCTTTAACTTTGAACTTGCTAACTTTGCTTCCTACTTGTTTCTATGATAGATGATATCTTCTCTTAAAGCAACACTAAGTAGGATTTTTTACCTAAATCCAAAATTGTTTCAGTAGTTCATCAAGTCGTGACATGGTGAAATGCACTTATGCCACCGCTTTGCGGTCCTTTATCTGGTATATTCACGCTATGTGAGATTGCCAGATCGGGTCGCGTTTCTGTAGTTCTAATGAGGGCTATTCCGCTTCCAACCTGTAGGGCGACCGCAGAGGAAAAGTTCCTTGGTGTTGCTTTAACTTTTTGGACTATTCTTTTGACTTAGCCATATTTCTAACATGCAGTCAAACGTGACACCCAACAAACATCGCCAGTTCAGATATTTCATGTGTTCAAGCTCAAGCACACCTGGTGCAACTAATGAAGCCCTTGATTAATGAGACAAGACCTGTTTTGCAGATTTGTGCTGTTGTGATGGACTCTATTCAGGGGGTTGAATAATTTTCAGACTGCAGAAGTCATTAAAAGTAGCATTTTCACTTGAATTTGGGGAAAGCACTTGAAACATTTGTTGTGTTGAGCTATTTCAATTACTTTTGTTTGATTTGTCCATCGCAAACAGGTGAAAGTCTCTACATTTCGCCAATAAACCTGTTTTGCAATGAATCATTTTGATAACAACTCTGTGAGTGTGAGTGTGTGTGACCTGTGCACAGCGTGGTGTTGTGGCTGGAGATGCTGAACCCCGGCTCGCAGCTGCAGTGACTGGAGTCCAGGAACTGGATGCAGCGCGACGGCCTCACAGACGCTGATAGAGCAGCGGATACAGCGGCGTCTACAGGGCTGTCCACAACTGAGACCACACAAACACAACACGCTTATACACTGACCTTTGACCTTATACACTTCAGTCAGGGTAGACACCACAGTTAACATGACAGCAAGGTCTTGATGGAAGTATAGTCCATTCAGTGTGTCATACTGCCGTATATCTGGGTGAAACACGTCAAATATGGCTTCGCTTTGAGAGAAACAGCAGAACACTGCACTGAGCTTCATTCATTAAACCAATGTGTGACTGTTTAAGAAAGTTGTTAAAAGGATTTACACACATTATCCGGCTTGTGTTTCATGAAGAGGTAAAAAGTGTTGCTTTGAATTGAAGCAGGTTTTATAAACGATTTACACAAAAAATGCTCAGCTTGTGTTTAATGTTTTAAATGTGCACATGCAAAAGATTTTATAAATAATTTATTCATGACACAAAAGAGGAAGGAATGCCTGTGTAAAGCATTAATTGTTGTTAAACTGAATGTAATAATTTATGCAAGAGGTTTTACAAAGGATTTACACTAATTTGTTTGGCTGGTGTTTCACAAATAAGGCATAAACTGTTACACTGAATTGAATGCAAACATTCATGCAAAAGATTTAATGAATAATTTATCTTGTGTTTCATGAATACATTTCATGAGTACATTGTTACACTTGACAATTAATGCCAAAGGCTTTATGAAGGAATTACAGAGATTTTGTTGCTCATGTTTTATAAACGAGGCATTTATTCTTGCAATCAATTCGATGTTTTTGCTAAACGTTTTACAAATAATTTACACTATTTTGCTCAGCTGCTGCTTCATAAATTAAGTGTATGTTTCAATAATTTATTGTTATAAATTATTTTTGGCTTGAATTTCATGAATAAGCCATAAATTGGTACATTATGCAACAATTGAAACTAGGTTTTTCAGATTTGTTCTGCTTGTTACACTGAATTGACACCAAGCAAGAGGTGCACAAACGACTTACACTGAACATTCGTTCAACTTATATTTCTGAACTCTAGACCAAGGCTTTTCATTCTCTCAGATGCCACAGATATGATATATGATATGAAATATGACCAATATGATATGATTATATTATATGATATATAATTACCTGTATTACTGTGGAAACTTAATATTTAAAAATGTAAATGTAAAATATTTAGTTTCATTTCTACTCAGTGCAGTGCTGAACTATTATATAGTAAAGTTAGAAATGTATTTTATTCATTTATTTACTTTTAATCAAATAAGTTTAATTTAAGTCAAATTTAATTTATTTAGCAAGCAATTTTTTTTTATTTTAATCAGTTCATTCATTTATTTAGTTACTTAGTTTAATATTTTAATATTTATGTTTGTTTATTTTCTTAACATTTAGTTATTTACTTTTGTCCAATTTATTTATTTTATTTAGTTACATGAAACTGTATTTAATTGTAATCATTTTGTAATAATTTTAATAAAATGTTTTGATTTATTTAGTTATTTCTATTTTTAGATAAAATGTTTTTATTTATTTTAGTTCTCTATTTATTTATTGTTTTCAAATGTTTTTATTTATTTAAAATTGTTTATTTAATCATTTTAATCAATTTATTTTAAGCTAACATATTAATTCATTATTTATTTATTTACAATTTGAATGTAAATGTATTTGTTGTCTGATCTATGTTTGTGTTTTGCTTCAGTTGGACTGAATTAGTTTTGCACTGTTCTCAGTGTTTTCTTTCTTCATGCTCATCTGTTGCCATGGTTTTAGATTTGCCCTCATGTGTCTCACCTGTGTCTTGTTAATTGCCTCTTTAGTCCCAGTGTTTCTGTGTGAGTATATATATATATGTGTGTGTATATATTTATACATACATATATACATATACCATAACATTTCATTTATTTAAATCAAGTTTCATTTTAGTTTTGCCCTATTTGTTTATTTAATTTATTTAAAGAAATTAAATTTTTATCTAATCAAATGTTGTACATGCAGTTATTTAAATAAAATTATATTTATTTTAATAATATTTTATTCATTTTAATCAAATGGTTTTTCTTTAAAATTTTATTCATTTTAAACAATTTATTTTAATCTAACATCATTTCTTTATGTACAATTTTATTTTATTACCAATTATTTTTACACTTCTTTTCCATGGACTCTGAGGGTCTCTGGAGCCCTGTTTGAAAACCCCTGGTCTAGACATTCATGTGTCAAACACAGGCTACATACTAAATACTGATGTCAGAGTGGAGTGTGAGTGTAAATGACAGGTAAAGTGTGTGTGCAGTAGTCATACCCCTGCAGGACGGCTTTGCTCCGCTCCAGCTCCGGGACTCCAGGCAGACTCTAGTCTCCGGCCCCGTCCGCTCAAAGCCAGGGCTGCACACGAAGTGGACCTCATGTCCCGACTCAAACACACTCCCGAGGACCCGGCCGTTAGCCAGCGGTTCAGGAGGAGGGCAGGCCGAGACTGGGAATGAGACGAGCAGTTCCTAAAACCTGTACTTCAACACTGACATGCTGTAAAGGACAGTGATCTGTGTTGGGCCGTGGCGCTGCTGACCTGTGCTGCTGTGTTTGACTGTGCTGTTCTGCAACAGGCCCAGTTTCTTGCGGAGGCTCCGCAGACTCTGTAGAAAGGATGTCTCGTGGGCCGAGAGGAGCTTCTGCACCTGCCGAATAGCGTTCAGCACCTCCGGTCCACTCCGACAGGCCTGAGCAATCAAACACAGAAACACACAAGCAACACCATCTCACGCCACCTGTCACAACATATGAGGAACAGCTAATCATTCACATAATTATGTAGACGGTTTTATTAGACTTTTTATATTTTAAGACAAATATTATAAGATAAATGCTAAAATATATACATACATATACAGTATATATATAAACTCACCTAAAGGATTATTAGGAACACCTGTTCAATTTCTCATTAATGCAATTATCTAATCAACCAATCACATGGCAGTTGCTTCAATGCATTTAGGGGTGTGGTCCTGGTCAAGACAATCTCCTGAACTCCAAACTGAATGTCAGAATGGGAAAGAAAGGTGATTTAAGCAATTTTGAGCGTGGCATGGTTGTTGGTGCCAGACGGGCCGGTCTGAGTATTTCACAATCTGCTCAGTTACTGGGATTTTCACGCACAACCATTTCTAGGGTTTACAAAGAATGGTGTGAAAAGGGAAAAACATCCAGTATGCGGCAGTCCTGTGGGCGAAAATGCCTTGTTGATGCTAGAGGTCAGAGGAGAATGGGCAGACTGATTCAAGCTGATAGAAGAGCAACTTTGACTGAAATAACCACTCGTTACAACCGAGGTATGCAGCAAAGCATTTGTGAAGCCACAACACACACAACCTTGAGGCGGATGGGCTACAACAGCAGAAGACTCCACCGGGTACCACTCATCTCCACTACAAATAGGAAAAAGAGGCTACAATTTGCAAGAGCTCACCAAAATTGGACAGTTGAAGACTGGAAAAATGTTGCCTGGTCTGATGAGTCTCGATTTCTGTTGAGATATTCAGATGGTAGAGTCAGAATTTGGCATAAACAGAATAAGAACATGGATCCATCATGCCTTGTTACCACTGTGCAGGCTGGTGGTGGTGGTGTAATGGTGTGGGGGATGTTTTCTTGGCACACTTTAGGCCCCTTAGTGCCAATTGGGCATTGTTTAAATGCCACGGCCTACCTGAGCATGGTTTCTGACCATGTCCATCCCTTTATGGCCACCATGTACCCGTCCTCTGATGGCTACTTCCAGCAGGATAATGCACCATGTCACAAAGCTCGAATCATTTCAAATTGGTTTCTTGAACATGACAATGAGTTCACTGTACTAAAATGGCCCCCACAGTCACCAGATCTCAACCCAATAGAGCATCTTTGGGATGTGGTGGAACGGGAGCTTCGTGCCCTGGATGTGCATCCCACAAATCTCCATCAACTGCAAGATGCTATCCTATCAATATGGGCCAACATTTCTAAAGAATGCTTTCAGCACCTTGTTGAATCAATGCCACGTAGAATTAAGGCAGTTCTGAAGGCGAAAGGGGGTCAAACACAGTATTAGTATGGTGTTCCTAATAATCCTTTAGGTGAGTGTATATCCTAACATTGTCCGGGAAGCAGACACACTCTGTCAGTTTAAATCTAGACTGAAAACACATCTCTTTTACCTGGCATTCACATAGAACATTATATGTACATTTCTATTATTCAAATCAGTTAAATGATGATTAGGCTGCATAGATTAGGTCAGCCGGGACCGGGGACTCTTCCTACAACATCCGATGTACTCGTTACATCATAAGAAGAATGGCATCTACGCTAATATTAGTATTTCCATTTATTCCGATGTTTACTGAAGTCAGCCGGATCCGGGCCATATCCAGATCAGACGGGGAACCGTCTGACATGTCTGGACACGACCACGTCTGGTTCACGGTCGTGAACCGTCTGGACACGACCACAACGCATCTCTGAAGTGAAAAAAAACCATGAGAGAATGCAGGCTCAGTCGCTCAGTTCTCTGGCCAACGAACGAACAGTGTATGATTATGATTTAGGCAACATTAAAGGTCAGAAGTCAGATTGGATCAGAACATTCACAATATTTATCCAGTTCCATCTGGTTGGAGGTCGGAGTCATCACGCTGGTATGGAGACGAGTTTGTTGAGGCACGAGGCCTTCAGAGGGCTGATGATGACCTGAACCATTTTAGGACTATCCCAGAAAGCCCGACCCAGTTTTCCAGCCTGTCAAGAAGTATGTTATGATGGACAGTGTCAAATGCAGCACTGAGGTCGAGTAGTACCAGAATTGATGTTTTACCTGTATCACTATTTAACCGAATATTGTTTATCTTTATAAGCGCCGTCTCCCTTGCAAAGTTATTTAAAATAGATTAGGAAAGCCACCGCTACTGGTCACATCTATGGTTAGATTGATTTGTTTAGATCCAGTGAAGTCGTGTCCCACCACTTTTTCTGAGGATCGATATTGTCCCCCACCACTTTTTGAAATATTGAGGCACGGATGTACCTAATACAAATGAATAAAACATTTCCAGTTAACTAGCAGAGCATTCATTTAGTTCTCTTGTGGCTCGCGCACAGTCTTCACTCGGACGCGCTCTTCAATCTATCACCGTTGTGGAGATTCTATTCTTTCCGGTGAAATCACAAAATAAAATGCACACAAAGTGTCCCTGCTTGATATAGACTGTAACCACTGAAAAACCACTGGTTTTGATGAGAGAAAAAAAAACTATACGAGTGCGGATTAGAACCCGTAACTTCTGACACGCTTGGCAAAAGATCTACCTCTAGACTATTGAAGAACTCGAACAAAACCTGCGGATCGATGAATTTATGTACGGGTTGAGCTGAGAGGCTCCACAGTTTGACCAGCGGGCACCGGCCGCACACCAGGCCGCCGGATGGTGTTGCTAAGAACTTGTAATGTATAACTATTATCAGACCGGCCCTCGCGGCCTCGAAACACTACCGGGCCACCGGGAAAAGCCCAGAATCTCCCGATTGCCACACCGCCCCTGGTTATCATTGCAGGGACACGACACATATCACTGAGAGCTGTTATTAGTTGTTTTTGGTTCACCTAGAGCAGATGGAGGATAGTGTGGGCCCTGGCGTTGTGGCAGAGACCGAAGAGCTCTCACAGGAGGAGGGCGAGCTGGGCCCGCATGCTTTGGTGGTCGACCCCTTTTTGGTTGATATCTGGGGGCTTGCAGCAAAAGAGTGGGATTGTTTAGTTCCAGCATACACCAGTTCCTCCAATTTCTCGGAGAAGCACAGAAGTGGAGATGCTGGAGAGAGGAATAACATGTCTGGTGAGTGGGGCTGTTGCTCTGGTGTTACCAGAGGCTGTGATATGTTGTACTGGTTTCCCTGGCTGGTTTCCAGAAAATGGTCCTTGGGTGCTGAATCTTGGAGCAGTTCTAATCCGTCCGAGTCTGTCTGTGGTGAGCTCTGTGGGCAGGGCTCATTGTGTCCGTGAGCAGAAGTTGTTGTGGCTGCATGGTGTTATCATTGTCCTTGTGTGATATGTCAACCACATGTCCATTCAGGTGCTGAAGTGAAGTCCTGTGGTCATTTATACTCTGTCAAGGTGTGTGTGTGTGTGTGTGTGTGTGTGTGTGTGTGTGTGTGTGTGTGTGTGTGTGTGTGACATTCAGGTTGAGTAGATTGGCACACACTGCTGAAGGGTGATGGAGGGAGAAGTTAATGTTGTCCTTTAGCATTCTTGCACCAGGTTTGTTTGGGTGGAGGTTGCCTCTGACTACAGTGGTGCTGTATGGTGCAGTGGTGCTGTATGGTGCAGTGGTGCTGTATGGTGCAGTGGTGCTGTGTGGTGCATTGGTGCTGTGTAGTGCAGTGGAGCTGTATGGTGCAGTGGTGCTGTATGGTGCATTGGTGCTGTGTGGTGCAGTGGTGCTGTATGGTGCTGTGGTGCAGTGGTGCTGTGTGGTGCAGTGGTGTTGTGTGGTGTAATGGTGCTGTGTGGTGCATTGGTGCTGTGTGGTGCAGTGGTGCTGTGTGGTGCATTGGTCCTGTGTGGTGCATTGGTGCTGTGTGGTGCAGTGGTGCTGTGTGGTGCAGTGGTGCTGTGTGGTGCATTGGTGCTGTGTGGTGCAGTGGTGTTGTGTGGTGCAGTGGTGCTGTGTGGTGCAGTGGTGTTGTGTGGTGCAGTGGTGCTGTGTGGTGCAGTGGTGCTGTGTGGTGCATTGGTGTTGTGTGGTGCAGTGGTGCTGTGTGGTGCAGTGGTGCAGTGGTGCTGTGTGGTGCAGTGGTGCTGTATGGTGCACTGGTGCTGTGTGGTGCAGTGGTTCAGTGGTGCTCTATGGTGCAGTGGTGCTGTGTGGTGCAGTGGTGCTGTGTGGTGCATTGGTGTTGTGTGGTGCAGTGGTGCTGTGTGGTGCTGTGTGGTGCAGTGGTGCTGTGTGGTGCACTGGTGCTGTATGGTGCAGTGGTGCTGTGTGGTGCAGTGGTTCAGTGGTGCTCTATGGTGCAGTGGTGAAGTGGTGCTGTATGGTGCAGTGGTGCTGTCTGGTGCAGTGGTGCTGTGTGGTGCAGTCAGTGGTGCAGTGGTGCTGTGTGGTGCATTGTTGTTGTGTGGTGCAGTGGTGCTGTATGGTGCTGTGGTGCTGTGTGGTGCAGTGGTGCTGTATGGTGCACTGGTGCTGTGTGGTGCAGTGGTTCAGTGGTGCTCTATGGTGCAGTGGTGCTGTGTGGTGCAGTGGTGCAGTGGTGAAGTGGTGCTGTATGGTGCAGTGGTGCTGTGTGGTGCAGTGGTGTTGTGTGGTGTATTGGTGTTGTGTGGTGCAGTGGTGCTGTATGGTGCACTGGTGCTGTGTGGTGCAGTGGTGCTGTATGGTGCTGTGGTGCTGTGTGGTGCAGTGGTGCAGTGGTGCTGTGGTGCTGTGTGGCGCAGTGGTGCTGTGTGGTGCAGTGGTGCTGTGTGGTGCATTGGTGTTGTGTGGTGCAGTGGTGCTGTGTGGTGCAGTGGTGCTGTGTGGTGCAGTGGTGCTGTGTGGTGCAGTCGTGCAGTGGTGCTGTGGTGCTGTGTGGTCCAGTGGTGCTGTGTGGTGCAGTGGTGCTGTGTGGTGCACTGGTGCTGTGTGGTGCAGTGGTGCTGTGTGGTGCAGTGGTGCTGTGTGGTGCAGTGGTGCTGTATGGTGCA